TTTTTTTACTTAGACTTGCCAAAATAGTTTAGATAGCTATTTTTGTATAAACTTAGTTTTTGCTTTTTACCAAATTTGTATTTAAGTAATTAGCAAAAAAAGTATTATAATTTAGATTTTTGTTTTTGATAAGATTTGTATAATTTGAATATATTGTTTGATTATATAATAAAGTAGAATTAAAAATATAAATTGTATTTAAGATTACTATATTTTGGCTTTGATTGAATATTATTTGTGCTAAAATTTACATTAGAACTAGAATAGTTTGTATTTAATTTTTTACAAATTAGGTTCAAAATAACTAATTATTTTAACTTTATTATATATTTAGAGCAGAGATACTGAAAATTGAATTGCAATTAAATTATTACACAATTATAATCAGTTAACATTGTTACAGGCAAACAATTGCAAAACAATTAATTGTGAAATAATTGCAATTAATTGCAATTTTTATAAATAAAAAGCATCAGAAAAAAACTGTAGCAAAAATACAGTAACAAATTTTTATTAAAATAATATAATTGTTATATGTAAAAACTATTGTTTAATTTGGTAAATATCTTAAATCGATTATATTTTACTATTTACTCTTAATAATAAAAGATTTTCTAAGATATATGAATCAAAAAACTTTATCCAATCTGTATAATAATATTTTACAAATGAAAACAAATGTTTCACTGCATTAGATATAAAAGAAATAATATTCATATCTATATTTTTTAATTTTTCTGATTTATACTTCTTTGCAACTTATTTTTTTATAATTAAAGAACTTTCTTTTATAATTAGTTGCTTAACAATAAATGGTTTAAGTTTTTTTTCTTCATCTAATATTAATACAGTTTCATGTTTGTATAGAACTTTAGTTATAACCTTTTTAAAAACTGAATCATAAATAATTAACACTTTTTTTTCTAATCAGTTTTCTAATTTTGGATATTCTTCAATTAACAAATTAAAATAGGCATGAACATCGTCTAGATTTATAAAATTATTTTGTAAATTGTTAGTTGCTTCTAAAAAATATTTAAGTCATTTAATCAAGCAATTAATTTATTAAAATCTAATTGTTTAACTAATAAAATATTATGACCTGTATATATAAATAAAAATATATAATAAGAAAAATAATAAAAATAAAATAAATAAAAAAATAAAAAAATTCTTGACCTAAAATTCTTTAAATTGTTCAATTATTTTTATAATGCTCATTCAATGTATTGCATTATTCAATATAGGCTTTAATAATATTATCTTTGCAAGTTTTTTACAATTCTTATAAGTTCTCATCATATATACAATTGTATAAATATGAATTACAAGAGTAAATAAAGAACTTGTAAGATCATTTATAGCCAAATTTAGATGATATAATGCATATTCAACAAGTAAAAATTTAAATAATTAGTTATTTTATAGTTTGTACTATAGTTATTATCTGAAAAAATGAATGTTTTTAACATTCTTGTCATAAGATTCTAAAACTTCTTTAAAGAATCTAATATGCATATTTGCATTTTGGATAGTATGATCTTCAAAAAGTAAAAATGCTAGCAAAACCAAATTCTTTAATTTATAAGCAGTTTGATAAATTTTGAACATTTCAATAAAATAAATGCCATTATTTATCTATTTGTTAAACATAATTTTAATTTTTCTGGCAAAATATTTTTTATTCTCTTTTGTACAATATCTACTAACCTACTAAGGTATTTGCTAGCTATAATAATATTTAATTTTGAAAAACTGATATGTGAAATAAAATTAGGATTCTCATATATATTAAAAGGTAATTGGCACTTTATGATAAGGCTAACTTAGTTAAAAATATTAAGCATACTTGCATTATAATTATGTATATTAAAATTTAATATAGAGGTATTTTTGATTTGCTATTAGTAAATTAATTTAAAGTTTTTATGTCTTGCATCTAAATGGTTTATTAAATTAATGTAACTTGATTTTTTTTTTGAGTTATCAGCTGTGATCCAAAAGAACATAAATCATATTGATACTTGCTGTTATTTGCAGATCAAAAAAAAGCTTCTATATAGCACTTATTTAAAACTTTTGCATTTATTAAAATAAATTTAGAATTAAATATTTAATGTGCTAGTTCAGTTAAAAAAGAAAAAAGATCACTTGATTGCTTATGATTTTTTTATTTAATCTTATAGACTTTTTTTTTATATATTTAATCATATAAGCTTTTTATTTATTTAATCCTATAAGCTTTTTTTTTACTTATAATTTTGATGTCAAGATTAGTAATATACAAACTGCAACAAATATTGCAATTAATTTTTTAATTGTGGCTGTGCCACTAATCAATTAATTAGGATCACATAATTGCAATTAATAGCCTTCACAATTAATTATTTGGTAGCCCTAATTTAGAGTATTATAAAAGATCTTTTATATAATCTTTAAAAAACTATTGTATAATATATAATTACAAATGAGTGTTATAATTATTTTTTAAGTTTATATAAAGAAGTTGTTATTTATATCTTAAGCATGAATCTAGTTTTAAAACTTCAATATCTTTTGTAATAACTTTTAAGAAATTATTTTTAAAGATATTTAAAACAAGATTTTTGAAGTATAAACTATTTTGTAAAGTTAGATTAGTAAATATATTTAAAAGTAAAATATTTATATTTAATAGAATTAATATACAATATTAAGAATTATAAACAGATAAGTATTAATATTAATTATATATTTTGTTTATTTTTATATATTAAACACTTTTATTTTTTATTTTTTTTGGTGTTAAGATATATTAAACACTTTTATATAAAGTATCATTAAGACTTTAAAACTAAAAAATTTAATTTTAGTAATATAAAAACTAATTTTAAATTTAGCAATTAGTTTATTTATAAATTAATTAGTATGAACCAAAATTGTTTAATCTTTGTTAACAATTATAATAATTCAATTAATATTAGTTTTTAGCAGATATAACTAACTTGAATAGATTATTATTTTTAAATTATTAATATAAATATATTTAATTGATCTTATTTCTTTTAATTTTTTTATAATATATTTATATTAATAAAAAATATTAATTAAAGAATCTTTTAATAAGATTTAAACTATAAAAGTATGATAACTTAGTAAAGTAGATAAGTTGTTAACTTTCAAATAGTAGATTAAATATTCAAATTCTATTAACAGTGAAAATTTAAATAATCACTTATGTAATATTTGTATTATAACAACTGTTTCTAATAATTGAATTAAAATATCTATAATGGCAGTTATATTAGCATAACTGGCAGGTTATGAAACATCTGTAAAACTGGTTATACAAAGTAATGCAAACTGGCATTAGATAGTGCAAACTCTAAATAAGTTCTTGTGTTATATAAATTTGTTAAAATTAAGAAACAAAAAGTCTATTTAAAAAGATTCAAATAGAGTAATAGCACAAATCTTTAATAGTGCTACTATAAAGACTAGATCTAAAAAACAGATACCAATGTTGTAGTACTCAAACAAGCAAGAATCTTTAGATTAGGAGTCTTAAAAATACTACTAACTAGGCTGCTAAAATAAACTAAAAAAAAAGAATATTAGACTAATCTAATATATTAATAGACTAATTGTAATTTTATATAAGCTATTTGGATTAAAAGTCTAATAAAATAACAGAAATATATTAAAGTACCAGAAATATAGATACTAGAATTTAAATGAACTTTATAAGAGCATAGTAGTTAAATGATATAACTCTAATTGCAAGTGTTTATTCTGCTATAGCAATATTGAGTTAGCTATAAAAATAGATATAAAAGGCTTTAAAAGGTTTACTTTTAAGATAAAATAATTCTAAGAATAAGATAATAACTTAAACATAACCTAGTAATATTAACACAGGTGCAAGTTCAGAGGGTTTAAAATGAAATATTCAAGCAAAGATATTAGATATAACAATTAGTAAATTAAATATGACAATTAGTAAGAAACCTTTAGATAGATTTCTTAAATAAGTAATATAAAAAAGTTACATATATAACTAATTATACACTCTTCTGTAGTAGTTCATAGAATCATATTACTAAAAAAGTCATTAATAAAAATCAAATAACCAAAGAAATTACCTTAATATCAAAAAAAAAAATTTTATAAAGTATATAAAAAAAAAATGCAAACTATTATTTAATAAAAAAAATTGATAAATATAAATTAATTATTTAAATAAAAAAAATTAGACTAAAATGTAAAACCAAACAACAAAAAAAATATAATTTAAGTAAGATTTTATCTAAAATAGAAAAACTAAATTACTAAAAAAAGTAAATAACAAAAAAGATAAAAGAAAAATAAAGAAAATATGATTTGATATAATGAAAAACTATATTTGTAATAAAATGAGCTTATTTTTATATAGTTTTTAAAACTAGTTTGATATAACTTCTAAATTTGAATACTATTCCAACTAGTATAACAAACTGCTTCTAAGTTTTTATTGAAACAATTAAAAAATATCAGACCAAAAAATTAAATCAAAGTATATACAAATATATAAATACAAATCTTAATAAAGATTAACAGCAAGATTACCAAAGAATTAAAAAATAAAAATAAAAAATTAATCAATATTAAAAGATATTGTACTTAGAATAGTTAAGATTTGTATAAAAATAATTAAGATAGTGTTTATAGATATTTGTTATTTATATTTGAAACACTTGAGATTTATATCAAAATCTGCAACATGATGTTTTTATATTAGAATACTTAAAACTTATATAGAAATTTTGAAGTTTATAAAATAGTAGTAATATTATAAATGTTACTTTATATTATATAACTATATCATAGTTTTAATAATAAAAAACTTATTTTTTAAAAATTTGCAAAATAATTTTTTTAATATAAAACATCTTATATACTTATGAACAATATTTAATATTTAAGCATGTTATTGGCTAATAGCAAAAAATCTAATTAATCAAAAAAATTATTATACAAATTTTCTAATAGCTTAAAACTTGTCTACTAACAATTACAAGCTTTATCTTACTATATTTTCTTACACTAACTGCAAATATGCTGTGCATTGAATTAATATTTGCAATATATTTGAGTTTATGTTTATATTTATTGACAATAATGCTGTTTACAATATAAATTTATTTAGTTTATTTATTAACTTCTAAGCTTATTATAACCTTGAACATAAAAATTAACTTAGACATTGTTTTTAATTGTCTATAGATATATACAGTCTCTGTAAATATACTTTTTATTTGTTTATATCTATTAACAATACTGAACTAGAGTATTACCATAAGGTTAAACTTTAATTAATATAGTACAAAAGATAAAAATAACAAAATTTAAAGTTATTTAATGAGTAGAAAATATATTAAATTATAATAGAATTATAATATAATTAAAACATTTATATAAAAGAGGATTTTCATTAACAATACAAATTAAAACTTTAACTAAATACTAAGAAATATTTCTCTTATATTCAAGATTTTGAAATCTAGAAAAGTTATATTAATATAAAGCAATAGGTTTTATATACAATTTTCTTTATACTCTATATTTTCTTCTATTTTACTGCAACTATTTAATACAATACTGCTTTATTTCATTATAACAGAGTATATAAAACATATCTAAGCAACTCATCTGAATCTTTACTTATAACCTATTATAGGTTTTTACTTAGATAAATCTATTTTATATATAAAAAAATAAAAAAAATAAAACATGATCATTCAGAATTATAAAACTTTTCTGTATGTATAAAATGTATACTTTGTTATACAAGTTGTTATTTATAGACTATTAACTAACTTGATGCTTATTTAAAATTTTTACTAATTTAAAAGTAGAAGGCAGTATTTTAAAATTATATATAAACCTAATAATAATTTTTTTTTATATTTAATTTTATAAAAAATCATATTAAGTAAACTAATTTTAATTATTAAATAAAAGTTGTAAAGTAGATCTTTCTGAGTCTAATTATAGTAAAATTATTAAAATAAATTAAAAACTCATTGAAATATAAATTTTTAAAAATTAGAATATAAAATTATAAAATAAAATTAACTAATAAGTTTATATAAACAACTCTTTCCAACAATCACTTAAATCAAACTAGTACCAAAACAGTTTGAAGAGTTATGCTTTTAAAATAATAATATCTTTAATTCTGTTTAGATATATAAAGCAGTTTGTTGTTAACAAACTAGAAGTATGTAAAAAAACTGAGGTGCAGACAACTCTTTTGATGATTTGTGTTAAGGTTAAGCCTTGTCTGTTGGTGGACTTCCTAACATGTTTAGTATTCAAACTAGAAGAACATTTTGGAAACAATAAAGAAAACTCTAGTTAAAGATTATCAAAAGCTTGAAAACAAACAAACAACTAGAAACACTCTCTTTAGTTTGGCTTTTCGCATATCATATTTGTCAACCTTCTCTATCTATTTTATTTTTTTTTACTTAAAAGTAGGGAAATTGGCACCCCTTCTACAAAAGATCAGCATTGTTTACTACTTCCTTTTTCAGACAGTTATATGTTGTAATATAATATAATAAAAACACAACAATTACATATATAGCCTAATATATAGTATAATAAAAAAATAAAAAAGGATTTAAGTTAAAGAATTATAGCAAATTAGAGATATATAATAATCCTTAAAATTATGTATATAAAATTTTTACCTCTTTAGCACAGGTTAAAGTGTAGTTAAATTCTTAACATAGGTTTAAAATGCTAGTGTTCTAAATGGTCATAAATAAGATATACTCTCTAATAATTTTTTTTTTCTTTCTGTATCTCTTTTTAGTTTAGTTTATTTAGTGTTTTTTTTTCTTCTTTCACTTTTCTATAAGAAAGTGTTATCAGATTGGTAATACTCTATTGTAGAGTAGTGGTCAGATAAGCCTCTCAGATCTCCTTTTTTCATTAGAAAATTAGGCAACTGATATAACAGATTGCTTATAAGTGTTTATAGAAGTAACTATAGAATATTAATTTAGCACATTAAGTCTAAAAATGTTTGTTAATATATAAATATAAATCTTAATAAAGAGTATCAGCAAGCCTGCCAAAGTGAAAAAAAAAAACTAATAGGTCTACATAAATTAACCAATTAAATTTATTGTTTTTGTACTATCTAAGAAAATTTTAATCTATCTAAGTAAACTTTATTATATATACAAGTATATTTTTTTAAAATAATACAATATTTTAAAATTTTATTATAATAGATAAATAATTTTATTTATAATATTATAAAATTTTTTTATTAATTAATAAAAAAATAAAAAAGTTTTATTAGTAGTATATATTAATTTTAGATAAAAATTTTAATATACCATGTATAACTATATAAAAATAAGCTACATGCTCTTTATTCTTAATTAATTTATAAATTTATTAATATTGATTTATTTTATAAGATAATTTTGGTACTTATAATTATAAAACTTACAAAATCTAAAGCATTTTTAAATATAAAATTCATTAAGATATTTCTACTTAAATTTTTTGAAAAATATCAAAAATATTTATTACTATAGTATTTATAATTAAATAATTATTTAGCATTACTAATAATAAATAATGATCTAAAGAATGTAGTAACTTAGTGAAGTAGATAAGTTGTCATACTCCCAAGTAGTAGGTTGTGAGTTCAAAACCCACCAACAGTGAAATTTAAATAATTACCTATGTAATATATAGATAGTATTACAGCAATGGCATTCTGTTAATCAGTTGAGATAGGATACCTGTAACTATAGTCACATTAGCATAACTGGCAGGTCTGGAGCATTTGTGTAACCTGTTACACAGAGAAATGCAAACTGGTACTGGGCAGTGCAAACCTAAAATACACATTCAGGCTATGTAAATCTATAGACCTGAGAAGCTGAAGCCTATTTGGAAATTTTGAGCAAAGAGGTAATACAGATCTTTGATAATACTATTATAAAGACTAGACCTAGGAAATGGATACTAATGTGAGAATTTGGGTGGGCAAGAACCTCAGATAAAAGATATTACCAATCAGACTAGCAGATTTTGAACTATAGAAAAAGGATATTGGGCCAGCCTCAATATATCAAAGACAGGTCACAGTTCTTTTGAGCTATCTGGCTTGAGAGTCTGAGTTCAAAGTATAAGTATACTAAAAGTACTAGAAATATGCTATAAAGTCAGTACTGAGATCTAGATGAACTTTGTAAAGATAGCTCATATTAGTATTCTAAAAGTGGGTAGATAGTTAACAATAGAGAGCTCTCTGCATCTTACTGGCAGATGATGTACTTTGAAATGTGTAATGGCCTAGAAACCAGTACAAAAAGAGTAGGTAACTATACTGCTCAGACAGTATACCAGTTAGGTATATATAAAGGGTAAGTTAGAGATTCCAATATAACAGAACAGATAATCAGAGAGTTTAAGGATAGAGTCCAATGTAGATCATTTGTTATATGATTTGCATATCTGATTAAAATTTTTATAAAAAATTGAAAGATATTATTAATAAAACTTTTTATAATTATATTTAATTTTTATTAAAATTTTATAATATATATATATTAAAACATGCTTTTTACA